CAGGGATTGCAGGTTGATTTAATCAGTCCCCCTGAACCATGGGGGTTTGGTGAGCAAGACAATGTCCAGAAGGTTAAACCAGGACATCTCTCCTTCATTGGGATGCCCTTGACCAGATCCATGCAAGAAGCTCAAGTGGCTGACAGCAGTATTAGCCTGGGAATCCATAAAATGTCATTTCCCTGCAAAATAGCTGGGAACCACTCTGCTTCTCAGCCTTTGGGGCTGTAGAATCTTATTACTGACCTTGTTGTGGGAGACTGTTCTTCTTGCCAATGTATCAAAGAATTACAGATCAGTAAGCCTATTAGTATGTAAACAAAGTTTATTCGTGATATGTCCTCATGGAAGAGAATGGGCCCAGCTGAGGTGGGTGAGGAAGGCATAGGTGCTTGGTCTCTTGGTTTTGAACACTTATATAGTTTGCGGAGTGGGGTCATGGAGTTACATATCGATATGGTGGGAGACGGTGGTGCACACTGTTTAAGGGAGAGCATGACATTCTAAACATAAGTATGGGTGGAGGTCCAGTAACTCAGATTTTTCAGATTTTATCTTGTTCCAGACCACCTCTTGTTATCCTGTTAAAAAATATGTGAGTTTTTCCCCACAACCTCTCCATTGTTTGTTGCTTTGTTTATGATAGCCATCCTGACTGGTGTAAAGTGGTATCTCATTGTGGTTTTAATTTGCATCTCTCTGATAGCTAACGATATTGAGCATCTCTTCATGTGTCTCTGGATCTTCTGTATGTCCTCCTTGGAGAAGTGTCTGTTCAAGTCCTTTTCCCATTTTTTAATTGGGTTACTTGTCTTCTTAGAGTGGAGTCGTATAAGTTCTTTGTATATTTTGAAGATTAAACCTTTGTCTGAGGTATCATTGGCAAATAGGTTTTCCCATACAGTTTGTTCTCTTTTTATTTTAATACTGTTTTCTTTAGCCGTGCAAAAGCTTTTTATTTTGATAAGATCCCATTTGTTTACTCTTTCCTTTATGTCCCTTGCTCTAGGGGAAATATCAGTAAAAAAGTTGCTGCGTGAAATATCAGATTTTCCTGCCAATGTTCTCCTCTAGGACTTTAATGGTTTCAAGGCTTATATTTAAGTCTTTTATCCACCTTGAATTTATTTTGTTGTGTGGTGTAAGTTGGTGCTCAAGTTTCATTTTTTTTTTTTTGCACATAGCTGTCCAGTTCTCCCAACACCATTTTTTGAAGAGGCTATCTTTACTCATTTTATGTTACTGCCCATTTGTCAAATATTAATTGACTGTAGAGAGTTGGGTTTATTTCTGGGCTCTCCATTGTTCCATTGGTCTATGTGCCTGTTTTTATGCTAGTACCAGGCTGGTTTTTTAATATTTATTATTTTTAGAGAGAGGGGGCAGGAAGGAGAAAGAGTGGGAGAGAAATATCAGTGTGTGGCTGCCTCTCCTGTGTCCACCACTGGGGACCTGGCCCGCAACCCAGGCATGTGCCCTGACTGGGACTCGAACCAGTGACCCTTTGCTTTGCAGGCCCATGCTCAATCCACTGAGCCACACCAGCCAAGGCTAGGCTGTTTTGATTACAGTGGCCTTGTAATACGGTTTGTTATTAGGTATTGTGATCCCTCCTACTTTGTTCTTCTTTCTTAAAATTGCAGCTGCTATTCGGGGTCATTTATGATTCCATATAAATTTTTGAATTGTTTGTTCTATGTCTGTGAAATATGCCATTGGTAATTTAATAGGTATTGCATTTAATCTGTAAATTGCTCTGGGTAGTATGAATGGATCAAAAAATTATGGTACATATACACAATGGAATTCTATGCAGCAGAGAGAAAGAAGGAGCTATTACCCTTTGCAACAACATGGATGGAACTGGAAAGCATTATGCTGAGTGAAATAAGCCAGGTGTTGAAAGACAAATACCATATGATCTCACCTTTAACAGGAAGCTAAACAACAAAACAAACAAGCAAGCAAAATAAAAACAAAGACACTGAAATAGAGAACAAGGGGACAGCGACCAGAGGAGAGCGGGGAGGGAATTTAAGGGGAAAAAAGGGGAGGGATTTGAAGGAACAAGTATAAAGGACACAGGGACAAGAACTAAGGGGGGTGGAAATGGGAGGGAGGTCGGGAGCACAGGGCGGGATGGGCTGGGATGGGAGAAATAGACAGAAAACTGTACTTGAAAAATAACTAAATAAAATTAATTTAAAAAATTTAAAAAAGAAAAAACAAGACAAAAATATGTGAATTTATTGCACAAGTGAATCTAAAAAAAAACCACAAAGCAAAAAAGCAAAACAGAAACAGAATCATAAGTACAGAGATTATTTGGATGGTTACCAGTGAGAAGGAGAAGGGGGAGAATGGAGTACAAGGTTCAGGGATTAAGAAGTACAAATTGGCCCTGGCTGGTGTAACTCATCAGTTTGAGCATGAGCTGCCAACCAAAGGGTCACCAATTCAGTTCCCAGTCAGGGAACATGCCTGGGTTTCAGACCAAGTCTTCTGTGGGGGCCACGTGAGAGGCAACCACATACTGATGTTTCTCTCCCCTCTTACTCCCTCCCTTACCCTCTCTTTAAAAATAAATAAATAAAATCTTTAGAAAGCAAAGAAGTACAAATTGGTAGATACAGAATAGGCAGGGGGATTTTAACAATAGTATAGGAAATAAAGTAGCCAAAGAATTTAAACTCATGGCCTATGGATGTGAACTAAGGTGGGGGGTATTGCAAAAGAGAATGGGGAGTATTGGGTGGAGGGGAGCAAAGGGGGAAAATTGGGACAACTGTTACAACATAATCAATAAAATATATTTTAAAAAAGATATGTTGCTGGAGGCAGTTAATCAAAGTTATTTGTGAGCTTTTTCTGCAAGTACTATGAACCCCCTTCCCATCCCTCCTCCTTCTCCTAAACTTCTACCTAACATCTTCTTTCTCCAGAACTACCCCTCCTTCAATATCAGTGCATTTGCTCAGGCCTCTGGATTTATTCTAAGGACTTGCTCCAGTCAAGCTGAGTGTAGCTGAGGACTCTCTTAGGAGAATACTTCAGTCAAAGTGCCCAAGATCAGATGCTGTTCTGAGTACCACCACCTAGAGAAGTTCCTGGGAGGGATACCCAGCCCAGAATAGCTGGAGGGGCCCACTCTCCAATGAAGTTGATTGCAGCCCACCCTGCATGTGTGGGGTGAGGATGGAGGATATGAAGATGTGCTGAGAGCTCCCTGGATGGCAAGGTTCAGCCTCTTGTGCAATTCTGTGTGGCAGATGCAGAAAGAGGCCAGCTATTCTCTTGTAACACCTGAGGGGACAGAGTTGTTACCTCACATTATACAGACCTTTCCTCCACTCACCATCTCCTCACTGTGAGGGGCCTTTCTCTTTCTGGAAGGGCTGTCCAGTCTCTACTGGTTTCAAACCTTGTTCTGACTCCAAGTGCCCTTGATTTTCAATGCCCCTAAGGGCTGGCACTGGGGCAGCAGGACTGAGATGGTAATACCAGAGATTGCCTTGGATAGGTAGTCTTTTCTATTAACCCAATAACCAGGAACCACTATTTATAAGACTGTGAAGACATTCTCTTCCTGAGAATCTGTTTGAGAAGTACCAAAACTAAATGTGAAGTCTCTGACTGAATTTGGTAGCACTGACACCCACTACGGCAAGGCCTACTGTTATCTTGGATGAGCCCTGAGTCTATGAAGGAAAAAATAAAATTCTACCAGCTACAGCTGACTGGGCTTACTTAGTTTGTACAGATCTAGTGGAGTTCCCCTTAAGCCTAAGAAGTTGCTGGAGACTAAATCTGGGTAAATAACACTCAGAACACAAATGTGCAGCAGATCCAGAGTAAACAAAGACTATAGCTTTTATTGGACATATGAAATACATAGAATTCTAGAAGCAGAAAAATGATAAAGTTCTTGATTATATACCATGTCTGGGCACTATTCTAATGAATATCCACACATCATCTCATTTAAATCTTATTATACCTATTTTACAGATAATGAAACAGAAAATAGAAAAGTCAAACTTGTCTAAGCTCAAATAATTAGGAATGAAGGAGTATCTAAAAGTCTGACTGTCTTATTTAGAGCTTGTAATCTTAATCACTGTACTATACTGCCTGGTGAAGGTAAAAGAAATCCTTCTCTCTAAGCAGAAATAGATTTTTGGACATATGATCAGTGTAGTGGTACAGTCCTCTTAGCTAAGAAAGGCCGCACACTTGGGGTTTAATGACACTCTTAAATTTTTAATAATTTGAATTTTTGTTTTGTATGTGAAATCCAAAATGCGATGGAACAGTTGAGTATGTGCTGAGAGCTTGAAGACTTTGCTAGGACATAGTCCTGTTTTTGAATGCCTCTCCACCTCCTTGGGACATATTCTCACTTGTCTATTATCCTACATTACTGTATTAGCACACAGTCTCTTCCTCTTTGTCTCACACAGTGACTGCTGCAACCCTCTGCCCTCAGGGGCTTCATCCTGGGAGCAGAAAAGCTTGGTGTCAGGTACACGTGCCTTGTAACATCTGAGTTGGACATGGTGACAGTCATCCTGGCTCCAGGGTAGTAGTGATATAGTTCATTAGGCAGATGACTCAGCAGGGCTTATTGCCCATCTGACCCAGGTACCTAGTGCATCCTGCTGCAGAGGTTGCAATAACCTTGGCAGTCACCTGTTTAGCATGGGTTGCAGCAGCCAGCCCATGAGAAAGAGATATGCCTTTCTCAACTTACTCCTAATCAGGGTACAGTGCATCTGTCCAACAGTTGGTGGGCCACAGCATGTGCATTGTGTCACAGGGTGGGGTCACTGGGCACCTGTGAGGTTATGCACTTGTCCCCAAAATATTCCTGTGCCTGAGAGAGTGTGTAACATTAAATAGCAAAGTTAAAACATTGTAACAAGTTGAGAGAGACATTGCTGTAGAAAGAGGAAAAAACTTTATATATGAGTACCTTTAATGACACTTTTTCTGCTTTATAAAAAAATATGAAACACTTCATGAATTAGCACGTCATCCGTGAGCAGGGGCCATGCTAGTCTTCTCTGTATCCTTCCAATTTTAGTATATATACTACTGAAGTGAGCACCTTTTTCCTGCTTTTTGGACTTCACATTTACATTTTGCATGGGGCCTACAAATTACATAGCAAGTCCTGACTGTAAGAACTATGTATTACTAAAGCATTTTAGTATCCCCTTCTGATCCACCACTTCCCACATAGAAATGATGAAAGATGATGAGACTGTAGCTGTCTTTAACCTTACTGGGGCTGTTTAGAGGATAGGGGACACTTCTACTTATCAAGGAGATAAATGCTAAGTCAGTATTTGAAGTTCAGTCTGATGAGGCCTATTGTTTCCTACCCTCCCAGCTGTATTAAGTATCTCACATCATGAGACGGGCGTAAGAAAATGTGATAGCAGATGATATTCTGAGATACGAATCAGGAGGCCTGAATTTTAAATCTGTCTCTGCCACTGACTAGCTGAATTCTCTTTAGAATATTACTCTCTCTTTGGGGACTTTGTTTCCTCATATGTGAAAAGAGCAGTTTCAATTAACCTACTCTTCAGACTTCATATTTCTAGAGAGGTGACTCAAATGAAAGGTGAGTGCTAAGCATTAGAACTATAGGTGCCTCACACTTTTTTCACCTCAACCTGTTCCACTTTTATGTTTTATATATTTTTGTTCTCCATTGGAATTCACTTAAAATAATAAGACTTTAAAATTTTAAACCCATCACAACAATATCTATGGACCATTCTACCTCTGGCTTCTGATTCTGAAAGTTCTTAACCTTGAATCCTACAAAGAGTATGGTCTTCATTCCAGAAAGAAATCTACAATGTGCTTAGACCAGTGACCATAGAACAACATAAATCCAAGGAGGATGAGGAGTTAGAGACCTAACATGGGTGTGGTATAGAATTGAAATATAAGAACAATGAAGAACAGGTTTAGGACTTCTACTCTGGATTGAGACAGGAAACATCAGCAAAATTGGGAGATTCAGCTAGAAGATGATGCCCCAGAAGGTAAGATTTTCTACCTTTCCTTCATTACACAATAGGATATAGCAATGTCTGGTGGACAAAATGTGCTGAATAAGGAGAAAGGTTAATTGCTAGTGAATTTTAACTCTGCTAATTATATTTGAGTCTGTATCAATTTCTAATCCCTATACTATATCTAGGGTGGGAGGTGAAAAAAGTAACCAAATATAGCATCATTCCAAAAGGTTTCAGCATAGATGAGCAAAATGGAATTTCTGAAAAACACGCAAGAGTATTTTATAAGTCCAAGTGCCATAATGCTACAATAAATGTGTAAAGTACAATGGGAAAACTGTATGAACAGTCAGTTCCATCTGAAGCATTAGGAAAAACTATCTGAAAAAGAAGATGGAATTTAAACTTAGACTTTAAAAAAATCAGTAGGACCTGGGGAGACAGGACATGGAGAGCTTTGCATGCCAAACTTAGGATTTTGGAATAGGAGAGACATAAAAAAATTTTTAAGCAGTGTGCATGGTAGGAGAAGGATGATCTGGCTGGATTTACATTTAAATCACTGGTTGCTATGTGAAGAAAAGTAGCCCTGGCTGGTGTGGGTCAGTGGATTGAGTGTTGGCCTGCAAACCAAAGGGTCACTGGTTCAATTCTCAGTCTAGGGAACATGCCTGGGTTTTGGGCCAGGACCCCAGTGGTGTGCACATAAGAGGCAACCACACATTGATGTTTCTTCCTTCCCTTTCCCTCTGCCTATAAATAAATAAATAAAATCTTTAAAAAATAGAAAAGTAGATTTAATAGCATTAATTGTGGATTCAGAAAGAAGAAAAGACTGTTTTGTTAATCCAGGACAAAAAATAAAAGGGAGTTTGTCATGATCTAAGACAGTGACAGTGACAGCAGAAATTGATGGGATTTGATAATTTATTGAATATAGGAAGTTGAGGGGAAGGGAAGTTGTTGAGGACTGTCTCATATTTTGGTCTTAAGAAATTGGGTGGTATCATTCACTTAGGGGGCAAGGAAGAGGAAGAATAGGTTTAGAAGACTTCAGTTTTTAAGTTTAAATTTGAAAAGGCTGAGAACTTCCAAGTAGTGGTTTCAGCTGGTAGCTGGATATAAGGATCTGGAGCTCTAAGAGAACTGGTTTTCTCATGGCTACCAATTATCCTATATTCCCTCACAGCTGGGGCTTAGGAGTCCTTGGTTGATGGTTACTAAGGCTAGTAACCATTCCTAGATAGTTTCTAGGAATAAAGACAGAAACAAAACTATTCTGTGGCCCCAAAATTGTGTTCGATCTAAATGTAGATAAATACTATTCCTTTGTTTTTCCTTGCAGCTTGAGCCAACTAGATTATTTTCCCCAACTAATTGTTTTATATTGGTCACTTTCTCTTTTTTAAACCTTAGTTTCTTCATCTATAAAAGTAATATGTTAAGGTTTTATATTCCTCTGATATAGGAATGTGTGTTTTTAATGAATAGTATGTTGTTCAATATATTTAGACAAGATAGCAATATCCATGAATTTTAGGTATCTTTACAAATTCTGAGTAATAACTGTGGACAAATAAATTAATTTGGGTTCTACTTACACTTGTGTTGCCTGTTAGAAGTATATTCAAGAATACTAATAAACTTGGCTCAGGTTCATTCAGAATTTGCACATAAAAATTCATAGCTATAATTCAGGCTTGAAGTTCTGTCTAATCAATAATCTGTTGTCTTACAAAGAATCTTCAAATCTTACTCTAATTAGTGAACCCAATCTTTTGTTTGAGTATCACTTTAAGATTTACCCTTATACATCTCGATAATTGCACATGTGAATTGTAGGCTCACATTTTACAGTCTCACAGTGACAGTAATAATACGGCATTTGGAAAATACTTACCTAGGAGATTTCTGAATTTTTATGAAGGACTGAACTTAACTCATATGAAGGGACACCAAGCAAATCCTTGATATAAGTAAAAGAGGCTAAACAAAGGAATATGAGTCCCAGTTACCACCCATGTTTTCTTCTATAACTTAAAGTCAAATTACACTGTTTTCTAACCTTGTTATTTTGGAATTGTTTAACTCACTACTGTTATTAGTTCACAACTCAGACTCATGTATTTGTGCCTGCATGCATATTTCACTCTCTTAAAATATTTCTAATAAGACAATTGTTTCAGAAACTATACATTATTTTTCTATATAATTGCCTTATAATGTTTCTGTTTATCTAAACAACTACTTCTAAGTACTTTACAAGAGCATTTCAATTATTCTTAACAAGTCTCAATTTGCAGGCAAGGCAAGCATGGTCAATATAACTGTGATCAAGTTTTCATAGAACATATCCCATTCTCAAGACACAAAATAGAAGATTAGGATATCTGTATCGATATTTTTCATAGAGCAACTTTCACTACCCTGTTCACTACCCACTACCCTGTTTCTCAAACTTTAGAGTAGAAGATTTAACATATGTATCATCATTGTATAAAACACTGAGATTATCTCATTTTCTGCTCAGGATCATGTCAAGAGCACTGCAAATAAGTGTATATAGTTATTCCATAGTACAGGCGAATAGCAGTTAAATGAGAAGTACAGGAAGAGAAATGCTAAGGGAATTTGCCAAATGCTGAGGGAATTCCCAGAGTGGTCATGATGACAGAAATGTAAGAGACAAGGATGACCACAATGGAAGTGACTAGGGTGGGTCACCTGAAGTCAATAGTCAAGGTCTAGGTGGCCCTGGGGTCTGAGTAAGTCAGTGCCAACAATACAGAGATGTTACAGAAGAAGTGTGGAAGGACATGTGGTTGACAGAATAATAGTTATGTGATGGAAGGTAGCACAGAAACCATGTTTAACCCACCAAGGTAGAATCCTGCTACCAAGAGGAAGCAACAGACTCTAGATGTGATGACATTGTAGAGCAGTGGGTAACAAATGGTAGTGTGGCAGTCTTGGCCATAAGAGCAAAAAGGTTGCATTCAGCATGGACAAATATTATGAACAAGTCCATTTGAGTCACATATCCAAGGAAAATAACACCCTCAACTTAGATAACAAAAATTCTTAAAGTTTTTGGGATTGTGATGGAAGAGGGATAGACATCAAGAAAGGACAAATTAGAGAGGAAAAAGTACATAGAGGTGTGGAGGCAGGGACTGACTCTGATCAGGACTACCAGCTCTAAATTTCTCAACACAGTGACAATATAAACAATAAGAAAAACTCCAAATATCAGGACTCTAAATTGAGGGTTATCTGTCATGCCAAGATAAATAAAATCAGTCACTATAAATGCATTCTCCATCAACACAAGCTGAGTATTATTTTTGACTAGTTAAGAGCTCCTTAGATATGTTTTAAGTAAAAAGAACAACAACAAAAAAAAACACCCTGAATGACACTGGTAAAACAGTCCCATTCAAAACACAGATCCACAACATTGTCCAACCCTTCCCCTCATTTATATTCTCACTTTAAATGCCTTCCTAAATAACATCACAATTTCTCAAGCTTAACATTGAAACAGTGAATATGGGAGTAAAAAGAAAAGGAAGGAGAAAATGAAATAAAGAAAATTCAGAATGAACACAAATGAGGAAGAGAGCAAGCTTACAATGCAAAAGGCACTCATAATTTGTTGAAGGAATGAATAAGTGTGGGAAAAAGAAAATGAATGTCATCAAGAGATGCTCTTTATTGGTACAAGACTATGCACTCAAAAAATTGAGGATATAGAATTCCATTTCACTCTCACTCATTTTTCCAAATGAAGCCCAAGGAACATGAGGTAACAATAAGGTAAACATGTCAACTGATTTCATCCTGACAGACACCCTCCTGAAGTATTTGTGACATTACTTCTGAAACAGTGGAAGTCACCAATACTTGCTATTCTGCTTGGTCACACTAGAGGGTTTTCCAGACTTTGATAATCTCTTCATTGGTAGATTGTTGCAGAATCACAATGCCCCCAAATGGTCATCAGTAACTGAACTTAAGTCTGAAACTACAATTTTGATCCTGTGAAAGAGAAATCAAAGGATTCATGTAGCTCCAG